AGATATTATAGATATTATATTGTAGTCTTTTACTAGTAATACTAATAATAATAATAATAATAATAATAATAATAATAATAATGTGTGTGTTTCAGGTCTTCTGCCAGAAGTCCCATATAATCTGTCGGTCGTGAGTCTGTATGGGCGACAGGCAGGAAGTGACATGTCAGTCATTGCTTTCACATGGGAAGGAGGTCAGATATTACACTGAAAATTTGTGCATTTATTGGAACTGACAGTGTGGTAGTATTGCAGTAGCATTCACCAGCTCTCTTGCCATAAGCCATGCTCAAAAAAATGTAACAAAATACTATAATACAGAAACATTATCTTTAGGGGAAACTGGGGCTAGTTGTCACATGCTACAGTACATCTATATATACTATAGCTACAGTACATAAATTCTGGTCGATTTGCATGTGAAATGATGGCAGAACTATCCCTTTAAGCAATTTCAACAAGCATCATCCTTCTAGAAGATCTATATTTTTAAATATATTGAATATATTTTAAGTATGTTTAAAAATATACAAATAATTGCCAACCATATATTGCTTATTTCAATTTTAAAATACATTTGCGTAACAAAACATAATAAAATTATTTTACTTGGATTTCCTATTTTTTTTTAATGCCATTTGTTTGCTTGTTTCTTTATAGTATTTTAAGAATAGATATTAATTGTACTTAAAGAGAAAAAGTATTTCAATCTATATATGCTATAGCAACAGTACATAAATACTGGCAGATCTGCACGTCAGGTCATAATTTTGCTGAAAAGCCATTAAATATGTTGTGGAAGACGTGTGTGTGTGTCTATAAAAGTATATTATATGTAAGTATATTATATAGATTTATATATGCTTTTATATAGTATATCTTATGTCATATAAGGTATTAAACTCAAATCACTGTCAATAGACAGCAGGTTCCCATTGTGCCATCTTACCCCATATAATGTGACAACACGCCCCACTCTCCCTTAAACATAATCTTTTTTTTGTATTACTTTTATTTTCCAATAATTTCCTTACCAATTAAGATACAAGAAAAAGGTGATAACTAAAGAAAGGCTGTCAATATAATAATGAATAACAAAAAAAAATGGATTCATGGATTTGCATAACTTTTCAATGTGTACACAACGATGCAACGCCTGTATTTAAATAAATAAATAAATAAATAAATAAATAAATAAATATATATATATATATATATATCACACACACACACAAAAATGAAGATTCTGTCATTGACTCATCCTTAAGTTTTTCAGAATCTTATGAATTTCTTTGTGTAACCAGCTGATGGTTACCATTCATTTCCATAGTATGGACAAAAATACTATGAAAGTCAATGGCTACCGTCAACTCTGTGGTTACCCACATTCTTCAAAATATCCTCTTTTGTGTTCAACAGAAGAAAGAAACTCATACAGGTTTGGAACAACTTGAAGGTGAATAAATGTAATTTTTGGGTGAACTGTCCCTTTAATGCTTTCTCATGTGGCTGCAGTGATCGATGTGTTCCTGTGTTTCAGCGCCCTCTGTCGGCCCAAATATGACAGTGCTGAAGACGAGCAGCAGTGGTGTTGTTCTGAAATGGGATCCTGTTCCTTTAGAGAAACTCCACGGCTTCATCCAGAACTATACCATACTGTACGGCATAAATGGCAAAGACAAAAGTAAGACGCAAATGTTTCTTTGCGAAATGTTGAAAAGCAGTGTGGGGCAAGTAAATGATGAAAGAACTCTCACGTTTGAGTTTGACGCCTCGTGTTTGTGAAGGTGTGAAGGTAGACGCTCATGTTGAACAGATATCTCTCAGTGGACTGACGGAAGGAATCTATAACATCTGTGTAATGGCTCATACTGCAGTAGGGGGCGCCGCTGGGCCCTGTCAGATGGTGCTTGTGGGTAAGAATGAGGCCATTTGGATAGATTTTTTTTTTTTTTACATTCTTGCCAGTATAAACACAGCGTTATCTTTAAACCTGTTTGTGTGTGTTCACAGGGCTTGAGGATGTACAAGTGATTCCCATACTGCTGTGTGCACTTCTGCTGTGTTTTCTGATTCTAATCATCCCAGTATGCATGAGGGCGAGGTAAGACAACTTATACAATCCATACTCATTATAGGAGAACATTAATAACAGTGGTTCTCTTTCAATGGATGTGGATTACTGATAGCATATTAAAACACTAATGCACGTTCTTTTATAAAAAAAAAAATGTATTTCAGTATTTATTTACTTTTACTTTACTTTACTTTTAGTCATTTAGCAGACGCCTTTATCCAAAGCGACTTACAAATAAGAAAAAGTAATTAAAACTAAATGAGTTTATGTGACTGGACACTCCAACAAAGTTACAAAGTAACTTTATAATATATATATAAATACATTCTATATATATATATATATATATATATATAATTTCATTACCATTTTGTATGTTGAAGTACTGAAATCACTCAAATTAAATAAAACTAAAACTTAATAAAAAACCTATATAGACATAATAAAAAAAACTAATAAAATGACAACATTACTACAACTGTAACTAAAACTAAAATAGATAACTAATACAAATCAAACTACATTAGTTTATCAGTAATCCTAAAAAAATAACACTGAGCCAAACACACATGCTAAAATAACAACTTACTGACACATAGTAAGAAATGGTTATAAAAAACTGAAACAGAAGTGAAACAAGTAGTAGGAAAGAGGAGAAATAAAAAGCGATACTTATCCTTTGCCGGAGTCGCACGTTAGAGTCGATGGTCTTTACACTCTTCGGTCTTCACAAGGAGGCTTTCACACGGCCGCGACCGCTTCCGCGGTAAACTAAGCTTTTTTTTAAATTCATTGAACAAAACTCAGATTGAATTAAGCTGGACACACTTTCCTGTTTATCACAACAAATGGCCAAGCAAAGCGCACGACACTGACAAGGTACGCGATACAGTACGAGACCAAACACGACTTCAGCACGTCTCCTAAACAAAACGAGCGTTATTTTATAAGCGTATTTAATATGACATCACACACTACCATGCAGTCTTTATAGTCACTGTTTATTGTTGTTTTAGGATTAAACTGTGTCTGTGTCCAACTGTACCAGACCCTTCAAAAAGCAGCCTGTCGGTCTGGTGTAACGCTAAACCGTGTCAGGTAAGATCAAATATATTTCTATTTATTCAGCCGTGTCAGTGAAATTCATTAAAACCCACATGCTGTTAGGAGGAGGTACTTGCACCTCACTGCATCAATAAAGCAGTTTTTGGTGACTGAATTGTAGCTATTGCTGCCAGCAGGGGGAGTTGTTATGTCTGGAAAGATAGTTTCTTCCTAATTAATATCCAAAAATGTTGGTTAAAGATTTATATATATATATATATATAAGCAAGCCATAAAGTTTGAGAGTGGAGTAAGCCGAATCAGTTTATGGGTGGTTCTTTAACATTAGCACTTCTACATCCCAGGGTTTGATGCTTAAAAGCAATCAATTTTTAAAATATTTTGTACTATTTCGATTCTTTTTATTCGATTTTATTGCATTATTTTGAATTATTTCTATCAATTTTTTAAATATATGCTCAGTTGGCATCATTAACACACCGCAAATAATTTTTCCCCTAATAAAGTTTTATTTAAAGTTGGTGTACTTGGTTACCAAGAAGATACTGTGTCAGAAAAGAGCATGCATGACATGAAATGTAGGACATGTGATGTATGGGGAAAAAATCCTGCTAAATATCACTTGTGAAGATAATATTATTTATTAATATTTCTATAATATATTTATATATTTGCAAAATATGCATTAGCAGACGTTTTATTCCAAACTGACTTACATTACATGAATGCATTTATGGCAGTATACATTTTAGCAATTTAGAAATGTTGTTGTTATCAATAATATTAATGTGAAAATTATTATTATTAATTTTAATTTATTTTTATATAAAATAAGTACTACATTATTATTATTATTTTTTTTTATATATATTACTACATTATTATTTTTTTTTTTTATTTATATATATATATATATATATATATAATTTTTTTTTATATTGATATAAAATCACAACATTTTTGACCAAATTGTGCAGCCCTGCAAACAAGCAATGCAACCCCAGTGTTTTTTAATCGCAATAACAATTTTCAAATAATAATTCATTATATTTAAGATTCATGCATTTTATGAATTGTCATTTTATTCCATTTTATTTAAAATAGTGTGTGTGCGCGCGTCGTTGTGGTGGTGGTTGTTGTTGTTGGCGGCGGCGCTATGCTACATTGTGGGGACCAAATGTCCCCACGAGTATAGTAAAACCTGAAATTCCCCATATCGGTCCCCACGAGGGAAAAAAATGATTAAAAATAGTAAATGATGTTTATTTGAAAGTGTAACAATGCAAACAGGTTTTCGTGTGTGTGTGTGCTTGTTTATGCTACACTGTGGGGACCAAATGTCCTCAAGTATAGTAAAACCTGAATTTTTTCGCATTGTGAGGACCGGCCTGCAGTCCCCATAAGGGAAAAAAAATATTAAAAATAGTAAATGATGTTTATATGAAAGTGTAACAATGCAAACATGTTTTCTGTAAGGGGTAGGTTTAGGGTTGGGGGATAGAAAATATCATTTGGTCAGTATAAAAGTAATAGAAGTCTATGGAAAGTACCCCCAAAATTCACAGAAACGTGTGCGTGTGTGCGTACGTGTGCTGTATCTTCAATGTTCAACAGCATAAGCTACCATCCTTGTCCACCATGAACTCTATCATCTCTATGGGTCAAACTACAATCTATCAGGATTATGGTGAGAAAGACTACATCCCTGTCCAGGTGTTCACCTACCACACTGTTCCACAAGACAGCAATGAGACCGAAACCAAGACCTACAACAGCACTTCTGCTGTAACCCACCAGGACTCCAAACTCACACCAGCTCAAGCTTTCCCCACACATTTCCTCAACCAGAGCTACACCGAACCAGCCCAAGTCACTCCTGCTGGATATAAAGAAGACCCACAGCCCTCATCTGACGATCTCTTGTTTGAATCGCTCTTCACCTACAACAGTAATCAAGCAGATCTATGCGGCTACATCCACGTGTCTGAGAGCTACGCGCCGGTGATTACGACCGTAGACTCGTACAGGACTCTCGACCTGAATGAGTGTCCGCATTTCCTACAGGTTTTACCAGAGGACACCAGCACGTAGTTCACTGCAGTGTAAACAATGAGTCTTACGTGACTGGGGTTTCACAATCCCACTCTCTCCAGCCCGCCAAAACATGAACCCTCGTATCAACCACCATCTCTGTGTGCTTTCTGTTTGGCAGATATACACAGGCTTGTGCAGTAACGGGATAGTTGGAACGGCATAAGGCTGGTGCATAAAGCTGGGTGCAATTAAAATCAGAAACTTGTCTACTCTGTAAACTGTGTCCAGTGTAGACCGCCGCAGTCGATCATAATAGTTGCACTGGATTTACAATAGTTTCATGGGCTGGTTCAAGAGATTGTATCCGATTGCTGTTTTGCCCGACACTTGAAAATGAATTGTGAATTTTTTCCAAGCAGCCTTTTTATCTGAGCACCTCCTGTCAGATCTCGTCGAGGTCAAGGACACCACATGAGGACCGCTAGTCATTTCCACATGTGACACCTCTCTCACAAAACTTCTCTGGTCTAGAGTCAAATGTGCATAAACCACTGATGCCAGTTGAGTGGAAAATATGTGCTGGGTCGGAAAATTTGCTTTTGTTGCATGGAAACTTGGCCTATATTTGCTATTTCTGAGATCAAACAGTGCCATTTTTCTTGTGACATTGTTTTCCAATTTTTTATTAGCAAATGGTGCTTGAAAAATACAAGTATCCATATTCATATTGTGATATTTGGTTTAATATTACTTTTTTAATACATAATTAGTCATCTTCAACCCTCCCATTTCTGTTGACACAAAGGACAAACAGACCTGGACAGGACAACACGTTCCCCTGGTTACATCATGGACACAGCTTGGAATTATATGGACCTGTTTAACTGAAAAACTGGATTTTTTTTTGTTTTTCGTTAGTGAGTATTTCTGATGTAGCACTGCTGTTTGCATTATACCTGCCGTCTCCTGCTTCCTGCTCTGTACCGGTTTCCTCTGTTGGCCTTTTTGGATATCAGACAAAATATAGTGTTAACTGGTTTTGGACATCAGACAGAACTCAATCCTAACTGGTTTTAAATATCAGACAGAACTCAATGATAACTGGTTTTGGATATCAGACAGATCTAAATGTTACCAGTTTTGGATATCAGACAGAACTCAATCCTAACTGATTTTAGGTATCAGACAGAACTCAATCCTAACTGGGTTTAGGTATCAGACAGAACTCAATCCTAACTGGGTTTAGGTATCAGACAGAACTCAATCCTAACTGGGTTTAGGTATCAGACAGAACTCAATCCTAACTGGGTTTAGGTATCAGACAGAACTCAATCCTAACTGGGTTTAGGTATCAGACAGAACTCAATCCTAACTGGGTTTAGGTATCAGACAGAACTCAATCCTAACTGATTTTAGGTATCAGACAGAACTCAATCCTAACTGGTTTAACGTATCAGACAGAACTCAATCCTAACTGGTTTTGGATATCAGACATAACTCATTGATAACTGGTTTTGGACATCAGACAGAACTCCGTTAACTGGTTTTAGATATCAGACAGAACTTAATCCTAACTGGTTTTGGATATCAGACAGAACTCAATCCTAACTGGTTTTGGATATCAGACAGAACTCAATGATAACTGGTTTTAGGTATCAGACAGATCTAAATTTGACCAGTTTTGGATATCAGACAGAACTCAATCCTAACTGGTTTTAGATATCAGACAGAACTAAATTTGACCAGTTTTGGATATCAGACAGAACTCAGTCCTAACTGGTTTAAGATATCAGACAGAACTCAATCCTAACTGGTTTTAGGTATCAGACGGAACTCAATCCTAACTGGTTTTAGGTATCAGACGGAACACAATCCTAACTGGTTTTAGGTATCAGACAGAACTTAATCCTAACTGGTTTTAGGTATCAGACAGAACTAAATTTTACCAGTTTTGGATATCAGACAGAACTCAATCCTAACTGGTTTAAGGTATCAGACAGAACTCAATCCTAACTGGTTTTAGGTATCAGAACTCAATCACAACTGTTTTTGGACAGAACTCAATTTTAACTGGTTTTGGATATCAGACAGAACTCCGTCCTAACTGGTTTTAGGTATCGGACAGAACTTAATCACAACTGGTTTTGGATATCAGACAGAACTACAGATTCCAGACAAAACTGGAACCTTTCTAGAAATGTTAGATCCAGTCTTTTTACAAGATCCCATCAGAAGTCATACATTTTGTCTGGTGAAATGACCACATTTATGTTGTCAGCCTACACATGAATGTAAGCTTTAGTCTGTGAAACTTTAGATTGCTAAACTGGAAAGCTGTGAAAAACAACATAACCCACCTGATCTGAACTAAATATTGTTTCATTTCCTAATGAAAAGATTTTAGCAATGCCACTCCAAAATAATGTCAAAGGTTTATTTTTGTGAAATGTATCTGAAGATAAATTCTGCGGAAAAGGAAAGGACAGTGAGAGGGACACTCGGCATTGGGAACATTTTGTTGGGAATGCTGTGGCTTCAGGCCAGAGTTCACCACTGCTGGGCCATCTTTCCTGCGACTGGAATTCCCGATAAAGTCCCTCTTTGTTTGGACAGAGACGGGCCAGGGCAGTGTCACACATACATCCGGCTCCAGAGAGTTGATCTTTGGCGACAGGAGTGCAGATCGGCTGTGTGCCAGAGCTGGTGCAGCAATATTTATTGTGGATGAAATGTGCTGTTGTTGGATATTCACACTGACCTGCCAGAACCGTGCGAACCATTAGAACATAACATGCTCCTTGCATGCACCATTCTATCAGGAATTTATCAGCCTGTGAATATGGTTCAAAGAAGGAATGGATTAATGCTTAGCACAATATTTGTCATTCCTGTAGTGATGTTGAGAAACTCAAGGCTCTGTTCAGTATGCATATATTCTGATAAAGCACATGCTATTGTTATTTGTTTAATAAAGTGATCAGAAAATCACCTTGCATTATTGTTATCACAAGTCACAAAGGTTCATATTTGAAAGTAAACGCTGCATATCTTGCTATATATTTGAGAAAATATGTGCTTGCTTATAGGCTATACCCATATCGAGTGCTTTGAAATGCCAGCATATGTTGGACTTTGGTTATATTTACTGATATTTCTTGGGTGTGGTGATTGATCATAGGTGAATTTCCTTTGCACTCTGACTGCTCTGCAGTGGAGATGTTCTGTGCATGGAGAAATTAATGTAACAAGTCTCTCTTTTGACTACAATGGACAGTCAGGACTGCTGAGAGGATTATTGGTGCCCCTCTATAACCTCCAAGAACTTTACATCTCCAGAGTGAGGAAAAGGGCTAAGAAAAGCACTCTGGACCCCTCACACCCAGCCTACTCTCTCTTTGAACTGTTGCCCTCTGGCCGGCGCTACAGAGCGCTGTGCACCAAAACAGCCAGACACAAGAACAGCTTTTTCCCCCTAGGCCATATTGCACCTGAACAACACATAACACACCTCAGTACTGCGCATCTGTAAATAACTCATTAAACCTGCATCTGTAAATAGCACATATGCACATTCACAGTTCTGTCTATGGACATTTGTCCTTTTTCTGTATATGTTTATTACTATTGTTATTTATAATTTATTGTCTATTCTCTCATTTTATGTATGTCTGCACTTTGTTTGTATTTTCTGCACTGGAAGCTCCTAACACCAAGACAAATTCCTTGTGTGTGTGTGAACACACTTGGCAATAAAGCTCTTTCTGATTCTGATTCTGATTTTGTTAACTTTGGGTATTTCTGTATTTAACTTCCCTAATGTCAACAGAACAATGGCACAACCTGACAAAACATCCTTGGGAAGAAGGAAAAAGGTTCATAAAAGGGCATAATCATTTCAATAATAGTTTTGTATTTTTGAGAATTCTGTCCTTCATACTAAAATATCATCGGATTATTGCTATAGCTGTTGTATTAACTAGTGATGACAATAAAACATACATTCACACAGTGTAGGGTTGACTGCATAATGATGAAAGTAAAAGCCTGGATTATGTTATCAGGACAATGATGTTTTTCAGAAATAAAAGTTTGGGGCAAGTTGCATTTTAAATGCTTTATACAATTTATTCATTATAAATAGCCTTTTTTTTTTCCTGTTGAATCACTGTATAACTGTTTCACAGTTTACATTTAGCCTATAATAAACTTTTTTAATGGCAGTTTTCATTGTGACAACTTGCCCCATCACAAAGGTCAGTGTGTTAAATAAACTGCAATAGTTTATTAGATTAGATTAACTACAATTACTGTTATTACATTTCATAAAATATCTTGATTTAAAAAAAATGAATATACAATTGTTTTACATAGTTACTTATAATTAAGTACAAGTTTTCTTGAAATAACATATAGCTATATTTATATAAAAATTATCAAGTAAAAAGTGATTAAATGTAATTTATAGATACATTTACACTAGAAATATTGTAAATATTGTCACATTTGTGTTTGCCTGTAACACAATTCTAGTCTAGTCTGAACGGGTTAATCTTGTATTATATCTTAAACTCCTGTGTGTGTGTGTGTGTGTGTGTGTGTGTGTGTGTGTGTGTGTGTGTGTGTGTGTG